GTTGCACCCACAACATCAGCGAAAGGTAGAATTGCAAAAGCACCACTTGCATCCACTAGCAAGCTTGGCAACACAACAAAGGCTGGTCAAAACATGATGAAGCCTAAAGTTACTGACGCTGCAAAGAAATACAAGGAGCCAAAGGCCAAACCTAAGTCTGAGGTCAGTCGGTCTAATTCTCTTATCCTTTTTAACGTACGTGTGTGCAAGGACAGCTTGCTTGAATAACGGGCCCCGTTTGGTCAGGAACAGTGGTCCAACTTTTGCAATAAATTAGGTCTGAACATTAGTTCAGTGAAATAGTGCTGGCTGTGCAGTGGCGTCCACACGCCTCAGGGTAAGCCACCCCATTAAGGGTTACACTGGACTAGATATGATCGAAAGAATACTATTACTGGATCAGGTACTGGCCATTGACAGGAGTTCTACCATAAGGGTGAGACATGATAGACCATGGGCTGATAGACAAATGGCGAGGGAGTCACTGATGCCTTCTAGCTCTATGATCGTACACGGTGTTCCGGAGCTGGAAGCTGGCACTACTTTTGAAAAACACATGCATGAAGTACAGCAATGGAGATGGCTGTCATCTCAGATGGCCCTGGGCGCTTCTGGAGCAATCTCCATTTTCCGACTACATCACCCCGCTCATCTCACACAGATTAGCTCTCCAAAGCTGATATGTGTCACGTTCAACTCCCCGGAGCAGTTGGCCATAGTACTTCAACGGTGGTATGAGACCAAGAGGAAAATGGGAGGACACACTCGATGCTGCGAAAGCAGACCCCGAACCATAAGGAGGCAGCAAACTGAGGCGTTAATGCGTCCCCAAGCTTCAGTGACACTAGAGCGATGCAGTGTTTAGAATGACAGTCTGTGTCACCCAACTGTCCCACCTGAATCAATAGAAAAAACTACAACGAACCGGTTCCATCGGAGTCGGCCAACTAGTCCCAACATTAAGTCCCCTACCAGCCCCACGTCAACTACCCCACAACACTCTGAGGTTGTGAGACTCACTGTCAGCTGCCTATGTATCAATGTGAGAGGACTAAGAGGAAAAGTAAGCGAAGTCAGAAATCTCCACTCACACCTGCAGCCTAAGATAACCATTCTCACTGGCTAATCCCCGCTATTGCCGACAACGAAATCAGTATATGTGATATGGTTCTGGTCAGGAAAGACGGATAATAAGGAAGGAGGGGGAGTTGCTACATACTTTGACAGGCAACTTAAATGTGTACGCGCAACGGACCCACCACTTATTGAACTCCCAGACTCCATATGGTGTCATTTCACCGTAGGCCACACCAAGCATTTACTGGGTGGCATCTACCGATCACCCTCCTGTGGGGCAGAGCACAACCAGCTAATGCTCAGTACCATCACTGGCATACGGGACTTGGGCTGTGACCAAATCACCATAGCTGGAGATTTCAATGCCCCATCACTGAACCTTGGCTCCGGGTATGCTAAGGGAAAATTTGGCCAAAATCTTCTGCAAACTATTCAAAATATGGGACTGACTGAGAGTGTTGGAGACAAGTTGAAAGTCATCAAAACTAGACTACATTCTAACTAGTGACCAACTACTCGTCGAAAAGGTCCAGATCATGACTCCTCTAGGAAGTAGTGACCATGCAGTCATTGGTTTAGATCTCGTTCTCCGTGAGCATTTGCAGTGGGGCGTTACGCGACCATGTCTGTGCTCTAGCAAGGCGGCCTATGCTGAAATGCGGAGGCTCTTGTCCGACGCAGATTTGCTTTTAGCATGAGATGAGCTATCTGTGGATGAACACTGAGAAGTAGTAAAAGAGATTATCCATACAGCAATCTCGAATACCGTCCATTCAGTCACAACACAGCCCAAAAGAAAGTCATCATGGCTGAAGAGAGGCACGCTACGGATTCCGCATGCAAAGTGGAAGTCTTGGTTTACGTAGCGCGTATCTAAGAGTTAGATCGACCAGGACGCATACCTGGAACTCAGGAACCGGGGTAATGTGAGAGTCAGCACTGACAGGAGGTCATTCCAGGCTAACCTTGCCAAAAAACTCCTAGCAAACTCAAAAAACTTGAATCGATTCATGTCAGAAAGAAAACCAACCAACCAGGGGGCATGCGCCTTATTAGGCTCAAACGGTCAATATCTCACCAGTCTGGAGATGGCTGAAACATTCAGTTTAGCCTTCGCCAAACAGCTAAACAACAATGTGGGTATTACCGGTATGGACCAATATGGCAACACTAATATTTCACCGGAGGGACATAGTGGCTACTCCCCCAAATAAAACCGACAGTAGTACTAAGGAAGCTACAGAGACTCACACCTGGGAAGTCCCCAGGCTGTGACAACATCAGGCCATCTGTTCTGAAACAGTGCACCGAAGCTCCCTGTAGCCCTCTATGCGACTTGTTCCAGCACTCAATGGATTCGGCGAAACTGCCAAGGAAGTGGAAAAGATCCATCCTTTCCCCAATCTTCAAGGGTGGGGATAGGTAAAATGCCACTAGTTATAGACCAGTAGCTCTACTTCCAGTGGTATCGAAAGTACTGGAAAGTATTATTGACAATCACATCAGGGATTACCTCGATAGGTCTAATATTCTCTATTAAGCCCAACACGGTTTCAGGAAAGGCAAATCCTGCATAACAAACCTACCATCAGCTTGGGACGACTGGACATCATGCTGTGATGTGAATGTTCCAGTTCATGGGGTCTTCCTAGACTTTGAGAAGGTATTTGACACAGTTCATCATGACCGTCTCCTACACAAAATAAGTCAGGTAGGTATAGGTAGGCCACTTCTGTCATGGTTAAAGGACCACCTAGCTGAAAGGCAATATCGCACTAAGGTCAATCGAGTCCGATCATCTTGGCACAGCTCGTCATCAGGAGTGTCGCAGGGTTCTATCCTAGGGCCATTGATGTTTTTGATTTTTATCAATGATCTACCATGCTGTCTAAGCTGCCCGACTCTTCTATACGCTGACGACGTGAAGATATCGAGAGCGATAAAGTGCCCGGAGGACTCAGATGGGCTACAGGAAGATTTAAACCTTCTGGAAGACTGGGGGGTGGCCAGTGGCATGACTTTCAACCTGAAAAGTTGCAAAGTAGTGAAGTTACGCACCTGTAGACTGCAGAATGCAAGTTACACCCCATGCAATAAAAGCTTGTCCTGCATAACGTTGGAACGTGACTTAGGCCTAGTTCTAACGGAAAATTACACGGGGGACGTAGCTAGGGCATATGCGGTCATACACTTTACACATGGACAGTTAGGTGCACTCACTCCTGAGCTCTTTCCAAGGTTGTACATAACATGCGTCAGACTACACCTTGAAGTGCATAGTATTATTGCACCCCCACTGCTTAGAAGAGACGCCAACCTCTTGGAAGGAGTCCAACGACGGGCAACAAAAGGAGTGGTTGGTCTCCAAAATAAACCATATGATGAAAGGCTGAAGAAATTAGGCCTATTCACACTTAGTTCCCGTCGGCTTAGGGGGGAATTAATTACTACCTACAAATAACAAATGACCAGAATCTCCCAAACACAGGTGTTCTGCCATGGAGTATATAAATAAATAAATAAATTTATTCTCATAGTACAGTACATGAGGGACGCCAGTTTACAGGCATCATCAAATTGTTACAGAGATAGAACCATATAATTCAATCACAATTTACAGGCAGTAGCAAGATATGCTTTACATGTTCGCTGGAAATTATACATACACTTGATAAATGTTAATCCCAGTAGTATAAAACAGCCTTTTCACTTATATACAATCATTTCTGTGCAAAGTTGGAAAAATCTGTAGGTATAGGCTTCCTCGTGGAAATCCTAGAAGGATAGCTCACCAGAGGGCAAGGACCCGGGTGCGCTCCCACTTCTTTTCCCTGCGGTTTGCCGTCCCTGGAATTCCTTACCAGCAGATGTAGCTATGGCACCGTTTGTGGATGCCTTTAAGAGAAGACTGGACAATCATGCAGCGACACAAGGATTGCGTTCAGATGGCCTATCCCCTTAAGACCCCATACACCATTCATGGGTAGACAATTAAACTTGTCGTTTTACTTCTTCACATTTTCTCCCGTCATACTCTCCTGACAACTTTAACCACAATTATTATTATTATCATTATTACCGATATATATATACATATATATATGTATCCAATATCCAATATCGTTTTTACGAGCTAGTATAAACCAATTTGATTTCTTTGTGCTCGCGTCTTGATTGTGAGGTATAGGTTCCTGATCTGCTGTAAACTTCTGAGTAGCTCGTCCCGCCACTCGACTGTCGTAGCTTTGGTTGACTCCAAAAAGAGTAGTGCTGGGATTAATTATATGTGGTTTGTAGTATGAGGTGTGTTAAGACTGCTACTACAGTGAATGGATATATATACATATATAATTATTATTTTCCAAATTTAATCAGCTGACTGTTGTTACATTTTCTTTCTTTCTTTTTCTGTCTGTTAGTTTGAATAATATCACTAACTACATCTACTATTATTATCTCTTTTCTTTTGACGACGATACCGGAGGACCGGACTGACTAGTGAAAGGATTAACTCTATTCACAGTAGTAACAGTCTTAACACACCTCATACTACAAACCACATATAATTAATCCCAGCACTACTCTTTTTGGAGTCAACCAAAGCTACGACAGTCGAGTGGCGGGACGAGCTACTCAGAAGTTTACAGAAGATCAGGAACCTATACCTCACAATCAAGACGCGAGCACAAAGAAATCAAATTGGTTTATACTAGCTCGTAAAAGCGATAGTGGATATTAGATTGAAAAATCAAGATTCAAGAGTTTATAAGAAATAAGACAGCAATGCTGTTATTCGGATATACTGATGACTCAAACAGAAAGTGACTGTATGATGGCTTTGTTTTTGAAGGCCACTCTTCACTTACGTCTTAAGGTCAACCTACAGCGCTTATTTTGGAGCCACAAGAAATAGCTTCAAATGTATGGAGGTTGATAATCAAAAGACAGAGCATGAGAATGAAGTGTCACAAGAGCTGTCTAGTACTGGGGAGGTTCAGTTGGGACAAGAGAGCAATGACAGAAAGGATGATGATGAAGAAGAGGAGGAGGAGGAAGAAGAAGACAAGATAGTGGAAAAGTCTCACAACAGTCGATTCCACAAAAGGAACAAGCGTTTCCCGAAACAAATAGAAGGTGTAGACAATGCTTTTGTTGCAATAGAGCCGAAATCTGGCAAGGAAGTTATATGGAATGAATGTATCCTTCCTGAGAAAAAGACGGACAAAGAAGTAGCTGGCAATGTCAATTAATAATCTTACTCGTTATTATTCAGAACAGGTACTTGTCACTAATTAAAAAGTTGAAGAAAAATTCTCACCCATTTCTCGTGCGCTTCTTGGATGCCTGGGTGTCGAAAACGGAGGAAGGCCCACGTAAACTTGTTTTCATTACTGAGCGTCTTGATGAGTGCACTTTAAAACAATTCCTGTGCAATTCTGCCCGGAACAATCGCGTTAGTACTTTAAATAAGTATAATTTTTGTAGTTATGGAACAGACATGTGGGACAGCTCTTGTCCGTGTTGATGTTCCTGCATCGTTTGGGTGTTGCTCACGGTAATTTAACCAAAGAATCAATTTACTATCAAAACTCTGGCAACCTCCGAGTTGGGCTATGTAAGTTGGCTTTCCATACTCAAACGTGCTTTTTGCAGTTGCACTTAGTAGGTGTCTTGATCAAAAATCTGAGGCTTTCGATGTATACTCACTAGGCGTTGTCTCTTTAGAGGTATGTCAATTAATCTATCTTTTATGTTTTAAAATGGTTATAGATTGCTGTTTGGACGCCTTTGGAATTTCCACAAAATCTGGATCTGCCTGAAAGATGTCAACTGATGATGTCACGCCTAGACAACAACAATCAGAAAAGTTTCATCGAAGCATGTTTTGACACTAGTTCTGCAACAAAAGGCCTTATTAAGCGTCTATTGAACCATCCGGCGGTTACGGAAGTACCAATTCTAAAACTGTTATCTGCCCGAATGATAGTTAACTCAAGTGAGCTATGATGAGACTGTGAAGTTTGCATTTTTGTAGTTCCTATTTTCCATACACTGCGTTTAGCGCTCGTACACTCGAGCACTTGGTTTGCAACCAATGATATAAGTATATAACTTGGGCACTGTGGTAGAGTATAACTCCATTATGGATAAGATTTTATTTTGATAAGTCACACAGTGTTACACAGTAAATTTGTGCTCGGAACACCAGTTAATATAACTGTGTAACACTGTGTGACTTATCAAAATAAAATCTTATCCATAATGGAGTTGCAACCAGTGAGTTCTTAGACTCCATAAGTGTTCACATATCTAGTTTAGCCCATAACTTAGAACAAAGCACTTGTCAGTAATCTTTATTTGTTCTTTAAAATACAAACTTGACACAATCTGAGCACCGAGAGATACGCCACAGTCCATAATGAGTTACACTGATTTGAATAAGTGATGTTTATGAAGAAGGAAGTGTAAGTCATAACGTTGCCGCGCGCCCTCAACATTTAATAATAATCACTAAAGTTGATCAAAGTATAAAAAAGTATCAAAAAGCTAAGGGTCATTGAGGACTGTTGACGAAATGGCTAAAAATAGACTAAAATATACACGTTTTTATTCATCAAAATTTTTACACTATATGGGTTATCTTTTGATGAACATGCCTCTTTAAGAGTTTTTAGAATGTTCAACCATGTATGCACAGGTAGACAAATGTACATTAATTTTGTGAGGATGGGTGCTACTAAATGACCGTCTTAATGTTAAATGAATCCAAAATCTAACTCTTAACATTTTGATAACTAAGTGCTGAAGTGGGTTAACCAATTTTTAGGAGTGACATCTGACATGTCACTAGCTATCGCTTATTGATTTTGGGTATTGAAGTTGTTTATCTTTCAGTTCTTTCATCTTGGTAACTGTAGTATGCTTTTCAATATTATGGGTTAATTCCATTAATTAATCAACTTTTCGCAACGTTCATTGGTTTATTATTTTAGTGATTTCTGTAACCAATGAAGAAGGTGGTCAAAATGAACCGACGGGGTTTGCTAGCTTATTGAAAGATTATCTTAGTCGATATGAAGATGAGACCGTTATTATGGAAGTTCACTTTCCACATGATAAGTTGGTCAAGACTAGATTGTGGAAGGACTTTAGATCAAACTTCACTCTTACTTCCAAGTACCTTGAGGATGTCAAGTAAGTTCAGCTTACTTACTGAGTTGATATGCTTCTTGCTTTCTGTTAATTATCTCTCTTGGCTCTTTTATCTTGCTTTGTGTGCTACATGGAGTGTGGGAACTCTGCTGCACATCTGTGCAAAGTTCTACGTTGAAACCAGTCAGTCTGTCTATATTGATTTACATTTTGTTTTTCACTTAATGTAAAGGAATATGAAATCATACTTATCTGTGTGACCTTATTTTTATCTTCTTAATTGGTAGAAATGGTTTCTATCCATTGTTTGGATGTCGCTGGGATGCCTATCAGGGAGAAGACGAAGAAGGCACCTGTGTTGCTTATACAGGAGCTCCAGTACCCCCTCCTACTAATGGCCTGACAAGTAATCTATCAACTGGAAGTGGTATTGCTAAAAATGATCCACATGTTTCAGTTGGTTATTGTTCTTCGTGTACATCGACCACCCCGAGTACTTCCGTCTCCCGTAAACATTCTTTAGCCGTTAAACTTACAGATTTAACTAGTGGTTCACAATTTGCTACAGAGGATCAGGCACCTACACAGTGTGAAGAAACTTCAAAAGGTATGACTGTCCTTAATTTTTAAAAATTTAACTCTGATTTATTGGGTGACTGACTATTACAACACATAGTTTTATGTATAAGTTATGTTTATTATAATAGAGGTTTTCTTGTATTTCCCAGTTAATGAAAAACAAAACGATATTGTTTTTACTGACTTTTCGCTATTTAATTCTAATAGCTTTATCAAAGTATTATTAAACCAGAATTTACAAAATCCCAGCATACATATAACAACTTAATCATCGTTCCTCAGTAGTGGGTCATTTTTCGTTGTCAAATTGGCCAATTGGTAAAGATAACAAAACCAGGTGTAGATTGTTGGATTTGATAAGTGCGTAAAATTATAAAAAGTGTTTACATAATGAAACTGCTTATTACATTCGTCTTGATTTTGTCATTTATGTTATGTTTGTTTGTAATGGATGATATCATCGCTGTCAGTGGATTAATTTATTACTTACTGTAACAATGATGTCGGTTGCGAAAGTGTACTTTTTCAGGGAAAGCTTCCATCCCACATAAGTTACTCATAAGTAGTTAAATATTGTATTGGCTATCAACATTTTTCAATTTTTTATAGGATGTTTTGCATGCAATATTGACGCGTCGCACGTGGGTCTTGTAGATTGTCTTTCCAATCAAGTGTCAAAAACAGATTCTAGTCGATTATTTAAGGTAGCAGATACTGATATGAAAAGGGATGATGTTTCAGTCAAAGCAAGCGAAGTACCTGGTCCAATTTCCGTACCCACATTTGATGATGATAGCCATTCACCATCGAAAACAGCTCCACCTCTAAAGACGAGTCAGACGATAGAAATAGGACAAGCAGAGTTAAAGTGGTCAGAAAAACCTTTCGGTAAGGATGTTTTGTTTTTACTTGTTATAGTGCTTACACATATTTATCTTTGTTTCTTTTAATACAAACTTGGTTCAACAAAGACAGTTGGAAATGTCACACTGAATTATATACTATTGTTATAGAGAAAACAGGTTAAGAATTTTAAAAAAACATGGACATTCATGTTACCATCCACCACTTTTCACTATGAATGACGGTGGAGAAAAAGAAAGTTAAAGAATGGTCATCTGTGATTTCTTTTCTGATTAAGTCTTACATCGTGAAGTTCTATAGCCGGATTCGTGACTTATCAAACGTTGTGTCACATTATAAGCTGGTTACTTTCCCCGCCTTCTCCAACTTATCCAACAGGTAGCAAACCGTTTATGTCAAGAAAGTGCTTGCTGTAGCATTTTAATAAATGATCTCCCATCGACAGAAGAACTCCACTTTGTTCACACACGAAATGTTATCCTCATCATGGTACATCAAACCAGTTGAAGGGGAATTGAAGATAATCTCAATGAATAGTTAGTGTTTATCACTGATGCTTTCAGTTTAAAAGTAACTTCTTTCCAAGATTCGCAATGCAAGCGTGATCTATGAGAGAGAGAAAAGAGTTGAGTCACACTTGAAGATGATTTGTTGGCGTATTATAAGTCTCATCATTGAACGTAGGGATGTCTCCTAGTGTTTCTGAAAATGTGAAGATGTAATTGCCATTTTACTAATTGCATTTGTCTTCATAGAAGTGTTACCGTATTTGCATATTATTATTTCCTGTTATGTAAACCGCGAACAATACAGCAAGTCGAATATTGTAGTCAATAGCTATTAGTTTACTTTTGTCGATGACTTAGCATTGGAAGGTACTGTAGTGAAAGGGCAAATATTTCTGTTCCTGCAACCATTTTTGGAAATCAGGTGTTTCAGACACGCTTATAAGGTTTCATTTCGTATATAAAGTGGAGGATAGTGGCCATTGTATTTATGTGCCATTTTTTCACTAGCAATTGAGATAGGCAAAAATTAGCGTAGAATTTCCCTTATAGTGAATTACCACTTTTCAGCTACACTTTATTAACTGCACTCTACTCAAAGACTAGGGCTAATATAGGTAGAGTGGGATTCGAACCCGGGACATTCACATAGGAAGTTCAGTGCTATTGCCAACGAGCTGCGCACTTCGTTTGCCGTACAGTACATTTACAAGAAGAAATTACAAATAGATTAACACCACAATAGGTTGACTTGAGTGAAATAGAAAATACTATTAACAAAATGTATGACTTTCCTAAGGTGATAAACAGTGAATAAACCTGCACTATTATAATTGGTTGTGAGTTGTATCATCAAAAATGTGTGTAGTATATTGTCCACTTATTTCATTTGTAACTTTTATTAATTCATCTACCTAACCTAACTCTGCATTTCGTCAGCGTCTTCACCTAGGAGGACTAACAGCAAATAGTAAGAAACGCTGATTTAAAATGCAAAGTCTTCTGATCACTGAGCAGAAATCTTTAAATTTTTTGCATGCGATTTGCTTCTTTCAAATGTAAGATGATGCTACAGGACTGGACTACATCGACTCCTAGCTTAAAAATAGGGAGTGAGTCAGGTGATCAGGCGTGTTGACCAATTAAATTATTTGCGAAGTTGCATCAACCCTAACGGACTGATTGCTGACGAAATCTCAGCATGGATACAGAAGGCTCGTATAGCATTTCCCGAAGTATGTCATCACTGATGTAGACGTGGTACCCGTCTGACCATCCATCAAGAGATGTGTGCACTGCTCATAAGTTCGTTCAGTCCTCCTTTATGGCTAGCAGTGGGATATGGCCATTGAAAATGGAAGACATGAAGAGACTGGCTAGCTGTCTTTAATCACATATGTTTGCGTCCTATCTCCCATATTAGCTGGTATACTTGAGTGAGTAATGTTGGGGTTGGGCGTAGTGTTAGGTAAGTAGGGAAAGGCAGCCGATAAGGTTGTGAACTTACATCTGTTGAGATGGTTACAATATGTGCTACGCATGTCTAGCTATCGACTTCCTCAACAGGCAATATTAGCTGACATGGGATCAGGTTGGAAAAGAGCTAGTGGTGGTCAAACTAAAATATGTTTTCATCAGTCAATGAAATCCATAACAATTAGTTTAAGCCAGCCACGTCGGGAGGTGTAGACTTTTTGGCTGGCTGGGGTCCTCGGGATTGTAAGAACCAACGGTTGGAGACAATTGATGATAAGGATGAAAATCGTTCTGAATGACAGAGATGCAATCACTCTTTGTGATTTGTCATATCCAATAAAACTCTAGTGTTCTTCCACTTTACTATTCTCTTTCTCTCACACTTCTCTTTATTATCTCTACTGTCTTCTCTTGCTTTGTGTGCTACATAGAGTGTGCCAACTCGAACTGCTGCACATCTGTTCAAAGTTCTATGTCAAAACCAGTTAGACACTATTTGCTGTAAATGAAGTGACTTAGACTAGTGATGTAACCATTATTTATGTAGAAAAAACTCAAAGGCAATTATATTCAACATCTTAATCATACCACTACTGTATTGTTATTAGTGACTCCACTTGGCTATAACACAATAAATCATGGTAAAGTTATTTAGTGTATTTGCATCCGATGACCGTGTTCCAGATATCTACAAGTGTATTGGTCATATCTTCACCCTTCGTCAGATTTTGGAACAAAAACATACTTGCTGGTATCCAACACTTGCCATATTTTCTGACCTATTGTCGGAATTCAAGTCCTTCGACAGAGAGGTGTTGTAGCAATGTCTGGCCGTGAAGGGAAGTGCTGAAAAAATACATCCCACCTATCAAGACTCTCTACTCGAGCACACGTAGTCGTGTAAGAGCTCATGAAGAGTTGTCAACTGAAGTGATGACAACCAGTGGTTTCCGTCAGTGGTACTCACTATCCCCATTTCTTTTTCATTTCATCATGGATATACTAATGGAACTGACCCTAACTGACTTCAGCGATTCAGTGGTTGAGTTGTTACCAGGGAATAGTCTTGTTGACGTAGAATATGCTCCTAGGTGAAGATGATGATAAAAAGCAGAGTTTTCTGAACACCCTGAGCAAAAATCTTCGAATGTTTAGCATGCGATTTGCTCCTGTGAAATGTAAGGTGCATACCAGTGAACTGATTGCGCATATCGAGCCACCTCCTTCCTTGAAAAGCAATGGTAACTTCCATAGGGTTAAAATGAAGAAGTTTGTGGTGGTCAAAACATAAAGTGCTATCAGTCCTTGATGTCTTTGACTTTTGGCTTGAGCCACGTAAGGAGGTATGAGATGCGTGACCGGGATCCTCGAAGCACTATAAACGAATGGCTGGAGACTTGGTGATAAGTCTGAAAATCGTTCCCAGTTGCACAGATGCAGCCCCTCTTTGTAATGTCTTAGGTCCAGTGAGTTCTCATGTCTCCGCATGTTCCTATTCTTTCTCCCTTACATTTTTACTCATTGTAATTCTTTTGAATTTTTTTGCTGCCTTGGTCTGAGTTTGACTTGAGCTGCTGCACTCCTGTGCAGTCATATTCATGCAGAGTCCACAGGTTTTTGTTGATGTAAGAATATTTAATTCCAACTGACTAACTGCGTTTCAACATAGAACCTTGCACAAAAGTGCAGCAGTTCAGGTCGCACACAATAGAAAAGGCAGAGAAAAGTAGAAAAGTCAAAAGAACTACATTGAAAGCATAATTACATAGAGAAAAATGAGACCTTAGTAGATCTGAGAGATTACGAATAGTCACTGGGTCTAATCAACCCCGAGGGACTCCGAGAAGACAGTTTATTTGTTAGTTTGGAGAATGTTTTACCATTTCAATGTACTGTTTAAGTTTGTGTTTAGTAGTTTACATATTTAAAGGTGTCCCAAATCCCCACTTGTAACGTCGAGAAGATCAAAAACGGGTAGCGAAATCATAATTAACTAAGTAATTGATCAGCAATCTAGAAATTGTCTATCATAATGAATTTTATCCTTTTACTAGTCAGATTATTCAATTTTGTATTTTTGCCACATTATTTAAGTGTCTGAATTTCGACCTCTGGGGAATTCGTGACTGATTGTCTACATTGTCCAACTCTTAACTAATCAGTAGTGTGTCTGGACCTCATTTCAAAAGTCACGACTAACACTCAGACAGTAATTGTGATTTTACGGTTTAATCTTTTCCTAATCACATTGAATAACAATACTGATGAAGCACTAGACTAGAATACCAGTTCACCAATGTTATGCTTTAGCAGTGGTGTATCTCATTCTTATCGATTTTAAACATCAACAATGCACGAAGTTTCTTCTGTCTAAAAAAAGTACACAAAAGAAACACAAGCATCTGTTGAATTTTTGTTCTTCTTAAAGTATATGGTATACTTGAATTTTCGCTTATTTCCTGGCTTAGTTTCTTTTATCTTCCTTCAAATTGTCTAAAAAGATTATTTACTATTGTTCATTTTTCAGGTCCACCGTTGGATATAACTGAAAAAAGTGTAAGTTTCCAGTTAATAGCATCGCACTTCTTTTCATGCATATTTTTTCCTGGCAGTATTTTCACTTTTATAAAAATGTTCATTCCCTTGGTAATTAATGTAGCCGATTAGATTAAATGCATTTCCTGGCGGGAGGGGGGGTGTCTGAACTCCGCTACACCTACCTCCACCTGAGTAATTGATAGGTCTGCCGTATATTAAGTATGAGTCATAGCCTAGTACATGAAAGCATGTACGAAGTAATGGTGTTACACTGAGTATCATTATTATTATTATTTATTATAAAACTGTTTACCATCTGTGTCATTGAATGATGAAGTGAACTGGTTTTGTTTAAGACTAATAAAATATTAGATTTTAAAGTAGATCTTTGTTTTAAAAAAAAAGAATTAGATTCTATTTCAAAAAGATATCATTTTTAGATTTTTAAGGTCAAACGTTGATTAAACTATGTGTTTTGTGTCTTTATTTTTTCTAAAATTTAAAATTTTACATTTATTGATAGTATTTAGTAAATGTACTTATCTTTACTTGTCCTTGCAAGCACGATAATCACATATAAATTTAGGAGTAGTTAGACTTCAGTATGTGTGTGTTACGTCGTATTTGCTAAGTTTGTCATTTTTAAACACTTATACCGCAAGCATGTTTTGACCTATGTCTGATTCTTTTCATGAAGTGTCTACCTGTTACTACTACTAATACTACTACTACTCTCTGTTTGTAATGGAACTGAGTTTAGTCTTTTTTGTAAAAATGCATATACCAACAGAGAGTGATGTTACGCAACAGACTAAATTTTCAACACGAACTTATTTATTGAATTGATTCAGTTTTCGACTGTCTTCATAGTTTCACTTTGTGTAAGAAAAGAAAAGAAAACACGATCGATGAATTTCATTAATTAATTGATTTAAATTTAAGTATAAGTGGTCGGTTACACCAATGAACAGGCTGCAGTAGGTGCCAGTTGACTTTTACTAGTTGGTACTTCCACGACTCTGAGATTGTCTCTAAAAATGTAAGATATAACAGAAAATATAAGGATAACCGTGTATGCTCCAAACTGTATCAAATGTTGTAAATTACGTAACGTAGTCGACTTATTAGTAAGCATATTACCATTGTTACTATTGTTACTTTTAACCTTCATAAGTGTATGTTTATTTCAAAACGTATAAATAGAAAGGTTAACAAAGTAACTGTGCAGTTAATGGTGGCCTGCTTAAATCACAGAGCTACCTGAGTTTCTATCCGGTATAGGTGTATAAACTGTTCCCTATTTCTTATTGTTTTAATCGTCTAACTTGGTAATGAAATCTAACACAAAGTTTTGGTTTGCTGTAATGCAGAGCACTTCTAAACAAAAGAGAGAACATATCGTAGAAATCTGGATATTGCTTTAGAAGGGACAACACATCGTCGAACGATGTACTGAGGAATACAGTTTTGCCTGAAGATCCTGTTTGAAGAGTAGACATTCTGCAATTTAAATACGCAGAAAATTCTGTACTATGTTATAGCATATTGTCTAGAATACAGCTATTATTATTAATGTTATCAGTTGATAACAAAATATATGAGTGTATATTATCAGGCAAAATAATGAATTAGGTAGTCTAAAGACAATAAGTGATGAACATCGTTCAGAAATGGTTACTATTAATAAATTTCAAAAATAACAAGTACTTGGAAACAAGAAAATTGTTCAGAAGGGCAAGTGATTCAAATTATTTATGAAGTATAATTTAAGTTTAGAAGTTTGAAAGGAAGAAATAAGACGAAGATAAAAGACTGAGTGAATATATTATTTATTCCTTTTCGTTCCAAGTGGAACATAGGGCTCTAAGCTAGAGATTAGAAGTTTCGGTTGCAGTGGTTTTATTTTTACTGGGTGGGGTGGCTAGTCTCACGCCCAACCTTCCCTCCCAGCCAGGCTTATTACCAGCTAAGTGTAGTTTGGGAGTGCGTTGGTCGGGAATCAAACTTCAGACCAGGGGAGTGTCTGGCTAGCATATCCTACCTCTGACCATCTACGCACACCGAGCGAATATATTATATATACACTAACTTGGTATATATTCCATATTCATTTGGTCATTTTATCTTCGTCTTGTTTCTTCCTTTCAAACTCCTAAATTTAAATTATTATTATTGTTATTGATATTATTGTTCCTTTGGTTTCCGAGAGGAACATGGGGCTTCAGCAACACGTCTCCACTTTGTTCTATTTTCTGCTGTCCTCTTTGACTGGGCCCACGACTGCCCATAATCTCTCGTCTCCTCCTCGCACGATCTTCTCCATATCACTCTTGGACAACCCACTCGTCGTTTCCTATTCGGGTTTCACTCGAGCTGTGTAGCCTGACGTGCGATGTCATTAAATGGTCTCATCAGCGTGTGCCCTATCCATCTCCATTTTCTCCTACATATTTGTTGAACGATAGGTACTTGGTTAGTTTGTTCCCATAGTTCCTTATTGCTAATTCTTTCTGGCTGGCCATTTGACCCTCAGTATGGAGAGAAGCCAGCTGTTGATAAAAGTTTCTTACCTGTTGGAAATGCTTTGCGTGACGCGCTGGCCAAGTTTCTGACCCATATAGAAGAACTGACTGATTTGACATTGGTGTTGGAAAACCGAATCTTGTTCTTTATGCTGACGCAGAATGCAGAAGATTTCCAAACTGGTTTCAGGTTGATGAAGGTGTATCTTGCCTTTCCAATTCTGGCTGGTTTTGATACCTTCATCCGTCCCCCTGTGGTTTAAACAGTGCTTCCTAGATAAGCGAAGGGATTGGATGACCTCTGTTAAATCTCTCCCGTTGATGGTGATTGGTGCTGGTTGTTATTGTTGCTGTTGGTTGGTTATCTTCATCACCTCTGTCTTCTCTATGTTCACCTGTCTTCGCTATCCGCTTCTTCAGTCAGTTTGTTGATTTTCTCCTGTAAGCCGTCGAGTTTGTGTGACATTAGACATAAATCGCCTGCGAAACCCAGATCTTCTAGAGTCTTATTATCGGTCCAATGTATTCCAGTCTTCTCGTTACCCACTAACGGTGTACGAAATAATCCATTCCAACACAATTAAGAATATCATTGGTGATAATAGACAGCCCTGTCTTACTCCTGTACTCACTCGAAAGGCTTCACTGAGTTTTATCCATTGTGGATCACCTGACACGTGATATTGTCATATAGCCAGGTTGAAAAAGACTTGGACACCGCACGCCGTAGTGTTGAAGTGGTTTCCAAATTACTTCTCGGTCAACGCTGACTTGTGAAGGCCTTTTTGAATTCGATGAAGTTGAGGTAGCAACAGGTTTGACTGTCATTCTCTGCTTTGTTCTATGATAACGATGTGTAGAGTTGCAATTTGAACTGTACATGATTTGCCTTTCCTGAATCCAGCTTGTTCCTGGCTGGTGGAGTTTTGCATTCAGTGCATCTTTTATCCTCTCCAGAATATTCTATACTTTTTTTATACTTGTTTCCAAATGTACGTTATTGTTTAAATTTATAATGGTAACCGTTTGTGAACGATGCCCATCACTTATTGTCTTTCTGTCTGTCTGTCTGGATTCAACATAGAACTTGACACCGAAGTGCACCAGTTCGAGTTGCCACGTTCCAAATAGCACACAAAGGTAGACAAGAAAATGAGTGAAGAGAATCAATAGAGTTTTGACAAGTATAGGAGTGAAACAGAATGAGTAATGGTAGAAAGGAATATGAAAGATTACAGAGACTGAATACATCTGCGTAAGCCATTGACAACGATTTTGAGCCATGTCACCTATTGTCTCCAGCCATTGATTGTTAGAGTCCCGAGGGCCCCAACCCGGAAGTCTGCATCTCCCTACCTGACTCAGTTTAACTGTCAAGGATTTCATGGATTGATGACCATGTTTTTGTTTGGCCACCACTTACTCTTTTCCAACCTGCACCTATATCAGCTAGTAATGCCCGTCGTGGGAGGCGATGGTTAGGCATGCGCAGCACGTGACCTAGCCATCTCAATCTATGTAACTTTATAGCCTCTTCGATTGATTTTCCCTCTTTGCCCAACACTCTGCGCCTAACGTCAACATTACTTACCTTATTATACCACCTAACGTGAGAAAGAGATCGTAGACATCTATGATCAAAAGTAGTCAACCTTTCCATGTCTTCAACTCGTATTGGCCATGTTTCAGAGCCATAGAGAAGGACGGAGCGAACTGCTGAGCAGTACACACGTCCCTTGGTTGATAGTCGGATGTCACGCCTACGCCAGAGATGGTGTAAGTTAGCGAAAGCAGCTCGAGCTTGTTGGATCCGTGCTGAGATTTCGTCACCAATCAATCCGTTGGTGCTGATATAACTTCCCAAATAGGTGAAGTGGTCAACATGTTCTGTCACTTCACTCCCTATCACTAAGCTAGGAGTTGACGTAGTCCAGTCCTGTAGCAGCATCTTACATTTTGCAGGGGCGAATCGCATGCCAAACATACGAAGATTGCTGCTCAAGGTGTTCAGAAGACTCTGCATTTTGTCAGCATCCTCCCCTAACAGGACTATGTCATCTGCATATTCTAAGTCCATAAGACTATTCCCTGGTGACAAGTCGACTTATTGTCTTTAGACCATGTAATTAATTTTGCCTGATAATGTACACTCTTATATATGTGTTGTTATCAACTGATAATCATTAACTCTTATGTTATTTTGTTAGCCTTTTCATTCATTCATTCATTTTGAACATTGAAAAAAATAATAATAACACTATGCTTAGGAGTAAGGCAACTGTGTAACGTAATTCGCACATCTAAATAATTTATTTTGCTCGATAGTTAATGAAAATTATTACATCAATTTATTAACTTATGCTTTGGCTTTTTTTTTAAAAATTCCTACGTCACATTCCATTTTCTTAAACGTATGTTTGAAAAAACTAAAAGAGTTAATTTGATACTCGATGGATAAACAACCTGGTGTTAAAACTCAGTTGGTAGCCAGTCTTA